TTGTATTTTGAGAGAAAAGTTTTATCTTAACAGGAAGGGTGATATGAAGGAGGAGCAATGGTGGGAGGAGTAAGGAGAGAAAGAGGAGGAGCAAAAAGAGGAGGAGGAGCTAGAAGATGGGGGGGGATGGACATGGAGACTGTCTCTGCCAGTCAAACATAGTTGGTATATCTAGGTTGGGTATTGGGTTACACTTCTAATTGTATGGGCAGCTTGTTATTGAGCATTACCAAACTTATAAAGCCTTAGATTAACATTTTTAAGAAAAAAGTTACTAATAAAAAAAAAAAGAATGAGGAAAGAGGGTGATGTGACAGGAAATCAGATGAGGAAACTAGCTGGAGGAAGAAAGGGAAGGGGCAGAGGGAAACAAATCAGAACTCTAATGACACATGTATGAGGATGCTGTAATAAAACCCAGTACTTTGTATGTTAACTTAAAATACTAATAAAAAGCAAGAAGGATGGGGCTAGAATAGGGGGTTTCTGGGGGAGGGATGGCGAAAGGGGATGACATCTGAAATATAAATAAATAAATTATCCAATAAAAAATTTTAAAAAAACGAAAAGACCTCCAAAAATAAGTCTATAGGCAAGCCTGTAGGACATCAATTAAATATTGATGGGAGAGGGCCAACCCATTTTGTGTGGTGGCATCCCTGGGCTGGGGGTCGTGGATTATGTAACATAGCAGGGTGAGGAAGCTTTGAGGTACTAGCCAGTCAGCAGCATCCTTCCATGGTCTCTATACCAGGTCTTGCTTCCAGGTTCCTGCCTTGTTCGAGTTCCTGCCCTGACTTCCTTCAATGATGAACAGTAATATGGCAGTGTAAGCTAAATAAACCTTTTCCTCTGCAAGTTGCTTTTGGTCATGGTGTTTCGTCAGAGTAGTAGTAACCATAACTAAGACTAATTAGATCGAGAGGCTTCACTGTGATAATCTGACTCTTTTTTGGGGAGGATTATGGAAGGACTTCAGAACTTTGGGCTAGAGAAGCCATTGAGTGTTTCAAACTTGGTGAGCTTTTCTGTGGGAGCTTTGAATATAAGAACATTGAAAACACTGCAGATATTGCAGGCCTAGTTTGTGAAGTTCCAGAGCGAAGTTTTTGAGAGTTGTTTAAAGACTACCATGGCCAATTTGTACTTTGGAGTTGAGAATCTGTGGTTCTGTCTAGCTGTGGCTGAAGAATCAGCTGTGATTAACAGGAAACTAGAACTGCTGAAGTAAAACATTTGCTTTACTGGGACAATTATTAGCAAGAGCTAAGAAATCAATCAGTGGTGATTTAGAAGAGACCAACATGATTGAGGTGAAATTTTCTGGAAAGTGTTTCTTTCTTCAGGGTCAGCACATAGAAACTGTGTTCCAGAGGAGACCAATGTTATACCTTGCACTTGAAGCTGAACTTGGTAGTCCAAGAGTCACCTAGGTGGTACTTGTGTTGAAAGCATGAAGGGGTCATGGAGAACAATTTAGGCTTGGCACTGAGTGGAAAACCTGGAGTCCTGTAGAGAGCCAAGGAGTGGCCATGGTGGAAGCTCAGCCCAGTTGCACTTTCACATTTTGGAGATGCCATGAGACAATCACCAAGAACATCAGCAGTGGTGGAGTAGATCCAGCCAGAGCCTAGAAGACAAGTTATGTGTGCTGCAGAGGGTGGAGCGAGAGGACTGCCCCAAGTCTTTTGGATAAGCCCAGAAAATCCTGTTTGGATCTCCGATATTGGACATTGAGTTATTTATACTGTTGGAGTTTTGTTTTGCTTTGATTGTGTTATACTGTGCCCCAATACTTCTCTCTTGGTCTGAAAATGTATGTAACATATTTTCAATTTTACAAGGGCCCAGCCAATTGTGGGTAATGCCATCCCTGGGCTGGTGATCCTGGGTTCTATAAGAAAGCAGACTGAGCAAGCCTTGAGGTGCAAGCCAGTAAGCAGCACTTCTCCATAGCTTCTGCTTCCAGTTCCTACCCTATATGAGATTCTGTCCTAACTTCCTTCAATGATTAATAGTGACATGGAAATGTGAGCCAAATAAACCCTTTCTTCTCCAAATTGCTTTTGGTCAAGGTGTTTCATTACAGCAATAATAAGACTGACTGAGACACTTACTTCTGAATTTCCTTCTTGGACAATTTGAAATTTTTCTTTGTCCTTGCTGTGGGTAAGGACACTGAAGTGAGAGGAATGAGAGGGCGCCCTTGTCTCTGTTCTGAAGAACAGAATGATAGCAGCTGTGTAATGTCAGGTTTAGGTTTTTGCTCATTGTTTTCATTATGCTGAGGTATGTTCCTTGTGTTCTCACGTTCTTCAGAACCCCTATACTGAGCCAATGTGATATTTTGCCACAGGCTTGTCATGGATCTACTGACATGATTATGTTTCTTTTCTCACTGAATCTACATATTTTGTGCCTTGAATTGATTGGCTTATAGGAGTTTAAATAGT